CAGCCACGAGACCCTGAGGTGGGTGGGTGGGTGGGTGGGGGAGACTTATGGGAGCAGTGCGGAAGCAGCATCTACGTGCGGAGCAAACCCTCACCTTGTGCGAGTTCCCCATACTTCATCACAGAGGCTTCGTACATCTGGCGCTTTCGGAGCCTGGGAGGAACACAGACAGTTAGAGCCACCACCGCCTCCCCAGGGCGAGCCTGCTCCAGAGAGGGCCCGAGGGCTCCCCCAGCCTTCGGGCTGCTGGGGCTGGTCACACCGCACGGGGCCTAGCTCCTGCCCCGGCCTTTCCTCCCAGCAGCACTGCTGGGGAGGGGGAGAGCTACAGCCCCCGGCAGTCAGTGCCAACAGGGCCAGAGGCAGCCCAACTAGAGGAGCCTACTAAGAGCGAGGAGGGCAAAACAGTTGTCTTCCCTCTCCTGCCCCTGCCGTGGATCTCCAGGCCTCTAGAGACAGCCACGAAGCCGCAGAAAAGCGGAACGGAGGAAGGCTGCTGGGACCACACAGAAACTTCCTTAAACCTCCGGCACGCTCATCTGTTCAGAGAGCTTCCTGGGTGTCCGCAGGGCCAAAGCAGAGCCCAGGCAGCCTGGTCGGTGGGTGACACAGCCAGCTCCTTGCTAAATACCAACTTACTGGAAGTACTGGTCTGCCCCAATGGGGGATGAGGGCTTTGCTATCTTCACTGGTCCACAGACAAGGTGTTTCTGAAAAAGAAATGAGACAGCAGGCTTAGGCTCAAGGACTTAGAAGCTGTATCAGCACTAAAACGCAGTGCCAGAAGAATTGAACCTGGAGAGCAGCCAAGGAAACCTCTGCTCACAGCTATGGAAACAGGAAAAGGGGAACACAGAGTCAGGAGCTGCTGAAGTGCACTGGTGCGTTCAGTCAACAGCCCGGTTCTGCCTGCACCCCTGCAATCCCCTCCTGCCCTTCCTTCTTCAGCACTAAGGTCCCAAGGGCTCCGCAGCCTGGGCAAGACTGCGGAGGGGCCAGCAGGGCTGAAGGGAAGGCTCCCGAGGAGGCGAGGCTGGACCTCGGATTCACTGCAGGGACGGCAGGAGAGCTGGCTCAGCCCGAGGACACTGGGGGCCACGATGAAGAAGGCAGAAAGTTCCTCACCTGCAGAGCTGTGTGGGCTCCCGGATCCAAAATCCTCCAGAGCAGATCCATCTGCTGCTGCTGGAATTCCTCCTCGCAGCTCAGCACGTGCACCACGTGGCAGCAGCCT